TACATGCATTTGGACGCTTTCTGGACCCTATACATTCAAAATGTTGCACTCGTCCAAATGCACCTGGTCGAGAAAGCATCCAAATGCACGTAGAGGGTTGTGTAGTGGAGCGAGGTTCCCTGTTCGCAAGATTCTGACTTTTCTGACTGGCAATCTCCATTCCAACCACTGTGAAATCGACACGTTTGACAAAGGGAACGAACGCTTTCATTATGACTTTTTGGTCTGAATATGGACATATACTATGGGCAGAAGATGCAGAGAAGAAAAGTTATAAGTTCTAACACATGAGTATGGCTCTAGAACCCTTGCCCTAACAAAGGGAAACACATGCATTGTGACTTTTTGGTCTGAATATGGACATCTACCATGGGCAGATACGTAGACGAAAGTTCTAACACAAGAGCATGGCTCTAAAACCCTAGCCAACAGTCGTAAACAAAACATTTGACAAAGGGAACCCGTGCATTTATGACTTTCTTGAATGAATATTGCCATATACATGCCCAGATACGTCTAAAACACGTTCTAACGAGCGAGTATGGGCCGTAAAACCCTTGCCAACAACAGTCACCCTTCCCCTCTGAGCATCCATCCGCTCTCAAACTAAATGTTTGTGCCTTAGAGAACGCCAACAGAAAAACGTTTTTGAATGAATTCGGCCATAGTTACAGCTAGATGCACTCGTCAAAGTTCCGATGTGCGAGCATGGCCCTAAAACCCTTGCCAACAGTCACCCTTCTTTTTTGAATGAATGTGGCCATTGTGAGGATTGAGCCCTCAAGTAGGGGCCTTGCCATGATGTACATGTTCTGGGCTAGGGCCCCAGCAAGCCTAGTGCCTGCCCTAAGTGAAGGCGGGCCAGCAAATCAACAAGAGCCCTCTGTGCCAACATTTCACGAAGTGGGGTCTATACAGTTGCAGCACGCCAGTTGGTTGGAGTGCACCGAGTCTCGGATTTCAGCAAATGCTGAAATGCCCAGGGCCTCTGAGTTAGTTAGGCCCTGGGCACTCGAACGTGAGGCCGACAATGCATACTGGGTAGAGAGGCCGAAAATGCAAACGGGAAATCGGCCCACTGTCTGAATCTGGCCGCAGGCCTTGATGAAGGAGGTGCAACTGCATTGCCCCGGGGCCCAACTGTATCGAGTTGGCTTCAGCCTCTGGGCCCCGGTCACAGGCTGGGGAGGCCGCCCACACGCTGCACTGGCATATAGGCAAGCAGGGCGAGGCAGCGGGGATCTTGGCCAATGCTGGCATATGCGGGCACGCTGCGCAGATGCAAGTGTGCTGCGCTAATGCAGAGCAGCGCTGGCGCTAAGAAGAAGCAGGGCAGCGCTAGGCGGTAGGGCGCTGCCTGCTTGCAGAGCACTGGCGGCCATAGCCGGGCCGCATGAGGGTGCAGGGGAGGTGAGGGCGAAGGTGGTACTTCGGAGGTGAAGGGCGCTGTGTGGGGGAAGAGGACACGTACCTGGTGATGGTGGAATACAGCATTGGTGTTGACATCATCACTCGCTGGTAGTCAAGTTGTCTGGTTGCTGTTCATTGCTGTAGTTGTAGGATAGGCTATAGAGTAGATAGGGCGCCTGGCGCCATTCACAAGAGAGAGCTACATTCGGGTTATGCTGTTGGTGTTGCCCTGTTGGGCATCGACATTGACTCACGATTCTTCTGTATCATTCTCAATTGGATGGTTACTCGGTTCCATGTGCTATCTGCTTTGGCTTTGAATACTTGGACTTCAGTGTGATTCTGCATTCTGGATTTCTGTGCTTCGTCCATACTCATGTTCCTTGCACCATACATAAAGCTACATGCACTCGTGAAAGTTCTAATACGTGAGCGCGGCCCTAAAACCCTTGCCACTGGTCACCCTTCTTCTGAAAATCGCCAGTCACCCTTCTTCTGAAAATCGGTCATCAAACAAACACGTCTAACTTGCGGGGGAGGTCCCACTAGCAAAGAGGATTGGACTGAATGCCTGAATCTGGACGTAATAGTGGAGAGGTGCAGAAAATAGAGATTGAAAATCGGTCATCAAACAAACACGTCTGACTAAGGGCGAGGTCCCACTAGCAAAGGCGATTGGACGGAATGCCTGAATCTGGACGTAATAGTCGAGAGGTGCAGAAAATAGAGAAATGCTTGTTTTCTGCATCTGTCCATATAACACATCCATATAACACATCCATATAACACATCCAGATTCAGGAGCTCAGTCCAATCCTCTTTGCTAGTGGGACCTCACCCCCTAAGGGAATACTCACATTAGGGCTTTTTACAACAGAACCGTAAATAGTAAATACTAAATAGTGAATAATATACTAAATAACTAAGCTACCAAGGTGGCCCGGGGACCACTTGCCCGGCCGGGCCAAAAAAAAAAAAAAAAAAAATCTTATTTTTATTTTTTACTTTAAATATGTTAATAAAGATTTTCGATGTGAACCTGAGGCAATAGTTGCTCAGTTTATTCTTCTGCAAAACTCGGTGCGCAGTGAAAATCAGGGGCCGCAAAAACAGTCTCGGAGGTACTACCGTCTTCCCCCGAACACAACGCACCCTCATTTTGGCTGTACCTGACCGGAAAGATAGCAAGCGTACAGTTCATATCGGGGTGTGTTGTGTTTGGGGAAAGACGGTAGTGGTGGTTAAAGACCCTGCCCCGGTCTATTCGTGGGAGGTGTCACGTGCCGGGAAATGGGCCCCGCATCCCATACACAATTACACAGTTTGTCATCTTAGGGACTCAGTCTGACGTGCTGTGTGACCACGGGAGACTCCTCATGGTCCCCGGTCGTCGAAGTCCACCAATCCCCATATCATTCCTAAGGTATATTCCAGGTTGTTTTTTGTGAGTTATTCCCAGCCTAAATTTCCAATGCTAATAAAATTTATAAATGCTCAAATTCTACCAAAAAAAAAGAAAAAAGAAAAAGAAAGAAAGCAAGAGAGTGGCAGAGGAAAATAAAAAGAAAAGAAAAAGGCGGCAGGACATTTTCAAAAGGCGCAGTTGCAGGTCCGCGAGCCTTCGAAGGTATAGCTTTGTGCACTTAGGCTCTTGTGGATCATCGACGCATATTCTTGAAATAAATCGCGGGGGTAATTCGACGCATTTTTGAATTTTGCCACTCCGCCAGTTCCCCCCACTGTGCTACCGGTAGCCCTCATGGACCTGTTCTACCAATCCCCCCTAATTTATGACGGCGGGGGTAGTGGTGGTTTAAAGGATGATGCGACGGCCTTGAGATTTCATCTCTGAACTGACCAGCCCTGGGTAAATTCAGGAGTTGTTTTCACTCATCTCATTCACCATTGTCTCTGAACAGACCAGTCCTAGGTAAATTCAGGACTTGTTTTCACTCATCTGATTCACCATTGTCTCTGAAATGACCAGCCCTGGGTAAATCTCTTATACACATCTAGATGTGTATAAGAGACAGGCCTTGAGATTTCATCTCTGAACTGACCAGCCCTGGGTAAATTCAGGAGTTGTTTTCACTCATCTCATTCACCATTGTCTCTGAACAGACCAGTCCTAGGTAAATTCAGGACTTGTTTTCACTCATCTGATTCACCATTGTCTCTGAAATGACCAGCCCTGGGTAAATAGAGGAGTTGTTTTCACTCATCCGATTCACCATTGTCTCCGAAGTGACCAGCCCTAGGTAAATTCAGGACTTGTTTTCACTCATCTGATTCACCATTGGGAATTTCTGAACTGAGGCCTGCATTCCAACAATTCATGGGTGTACAAACTGAGCTACGCCAGTTGGTGAGACAAACGACTATCTTTATCTTTGCAAGCACAAATACACACACATTAATACATGTGCGCGCTTCCCGCGCTCCCCCCTCCCCCCTCCTCCCCACCCCCTCTTTCCCCCAACCCAAGCCTTTCTTCTCCTTTCCCCCAGTTCTACCCTTTCTTTTTCCCCTTCCCTCATCTTCTCCACCTTCCCTTTTCCCCCCATTAGCCCCCACATTTCCGCCTTCACCTTCCCATCCTTTTCTGCCGCCCCCCCCTTCTCCCCTTTCCCATCCTTTGTCTTTGCATGCACAAATAGACGCTCATTAATTCATGTGCACGCTTCCCGCTGCCCCCCCACTTTCCCCCAGCCCGACCCTTTCTTCTCCTTTCCCCAGTTCCACCCTTTCCTTTTCCCCTTTCCCTTATCTTCTCCTCCTTCCCCCTTTCCCCCCATCACTCCCC